AAAAAAAAAAAAAAAAACAACCAAAACCCTTTGATATTATCTTTAGCTTCAGCAGACAGCTTGAGGGCTGGGATGTGGCCTGGGCCATTGAAGAAGATGTCCAGAAGGTTAATTTCACCTCTCCCCCGCGGTGAAAGGGACCCAGCTGAGATCGCCTTCCTCTGGCAGGCCCGTGGCGGGTCTGGGCAAGCAGACAGCTGGTCTTTGCTGTGGTGCTTCAGTGGCCCGTCTCAGCAGCCCCTGTCCCCCTGCTTGCTCTTTGGGTCAGCTGGAGCTGGGCTTTCCCAGTTTTACTCAGGAAGGGTGGGAGAAGAGGACCTTGGAACTCATCCAGCCCCTGGTAGACTGGACACTTAGTTTCCTACGTTCTTGCCCACAATCTCTTACAGGGCTGCTACTTGTGCCTTATACCCACAGCACCAGCACCCCTCCCATGTCCCCTGAAAGTCCCCCAGGGAACTGGCCTGACATTCAGCGGCCAGAAGAGCCTCAGCAGGCTCCCCAAAAGAGCCTCCATGTGCTGCACCCCGCCTGCCTCGGTGTCCCTTGCCCCTGGTTCCTGCTCCCCCTTGCTTCCAGGCAGGCTGTCTGCATAACACCCCACCCACTGCTGGCCCCAGTAAGCCTTAATTACATCCTGCTGTTCAGCCATTGCCTACCTTGGTGCCTGATAGCTCCTGAGGTCTCCCCGCCATGGAGACAGAAGACCTGGGTCTGGGTCTGGGCGTGGCTACGTCCCAGCCCAAACTCAAGGATGGAGTTTCCAGGTCTTGGGATCCATTTAAAGAAAGAGATAAAGCATAAAGCAGGAGGGATAGAGTCCAAGGTCACAAGAGAGTTCTTTCAGCAAATAATGAGGGAGCATTTTTTACACGGAGCCCTGGCAGACGCTGTCACGCGCATGCTGTCGAGCATGAAAATTTGACTATGTTGAACTTGCACATGGACGACCTGCTGCACCTCCCACCCCACCTGGGATGGCCGCTAACCCAGTCAGTTAGTGGCTGTTGGAGCCTGGGGTCTCCAGTAAGCGTTAACACCGACTGGTAAAGGGGGACCGGATGTCATTTCTTCTTCTGCTCCTGCAGCCTAGTTCTCCTTCTTGTCCCAACTGGAGGACACTTCTCACGTGTTCACCAGTTCCTGCTCTGACCCAGGGTCTGTCTTCCCTTTGGATTATGTGTCTGCCTTCCCCATCTTCACCACAACGTCTCCCTTTTCCCTCTACAGCCACAATGAAAGACGGAACACATTTCGGCACCCAGTGACCGGCCAGGTCCCGGAGGAAAACAAAAAATTTGACTTAAAAATGTGAGTGTGCCCTTCGCCACCTAGCAGTGTGGTGTTTTTGTCCTTCAGCAGCCCCTTCCCACTGCCACGTGGAGCCAACGTGGGCTGAATAGGGAGGGAAGGAGAGAAGGGATCTAGGGCCACTTGCCAATCGTTCCACGGACCAGAAGCTTCTGGGTCCCCTTGCTTCACACCCTTCCCTACTTTTTCTGGGATCTGGCAGAGATGAGGCTGCCCCTTCTCGTGGTTTGAACTGTAGGAGTCACCGCCAGGTCTGAGGCTGGCTCAGCACCAAGGGCCTCTGCGGGAATCACGAGAGCTTATCCCTCTTACTTATACTCTGAGGTGGATCCTGCCTCACTGAATGAAAGGAGGGGAACAAAGGAAAAGGAAGAGGCTACCTCATTGACTCTCATAGGCCACTCAGACATTGTGAGCTTAAAATTAGAAGGAGAAGAAATTCCCAAGTCCCACGACATGGACTTTCTAAGTAAATGGGCAGGAAAGAGAGAGGAGGGTGTCCAGAATTACTGGTATTTAACCCCAGAAGAGATAGAGAGTTGCTTCGAGGGCCTCTGGGTAGCCCTAGGGGATGGAATTCTGTGCCAATGTGGCACAGCGGGTGGCAGGGTGGGTGGAGAAGAGGGATGGGGCTTTCCTGTTGCTTCTTGGCTCTGACTCATGTCTTTCCTCTGGTCAACCTGAAATCAGATTGGCCTTGGACATGTCCAGTAAAACAGGTGGGAAACGCCCTGCTATCACCAACAGTGACACAGCCAACCACAACATGGTGTCTGAGGTCCCTCCAGAGCGGCCCAGTGTCCGGGTAAGTCCAGCCCTCGGAGCAGTGTCAGACTGGAAACGGTTTCGGTACAGTTTAGTGGGATCTTAGGGACTCTGGAAATCCCTGCCTGCCCAGCTCATTCTTCAGGCTCCAGCAGCCGGCAAGGAGGCCCCAGAGGTGAGTCCAGAGTAGGAAGAGGAGAGGCCTCACACCAGACCCTTACAGAAAATCAGCATCTAGACCTGGGCCTCTTGTGCTCTCAGCCCCGTTAGCATTTGAGACTGGATGGTTCTCAGGGGTGCTGGTCTGGGTGGTCCAGTGCAGGATGTCTAGCAGCATCCCAGCCTCTGCCCACTAGAAGCTCACAGACCCCCATTCCAGTTCTGACAGCCAGAGTGTCATGTCCAGAGGACATTGTTGATTGTCCCTGGGGAGAGAGTGACCCTGCTCTCATTGAGAGCCACTGATCTAGGGGACAGTGAAAGAAGTCTACTAGGAAGGCCATAGTGATTAAGCCGGAGGTGGGAGGAGAGTTCAGAGGAGGGAGTGTGACCCAGGAAAGAATGTTAGGAGGAGATCCAGCAGGGTCGGGGCTGAAAGTGTCTTTTGGGTTTTGTGACAATGGAAGACAAGCTGGAGAGGGTTAAGGAGGGCATGGGAGGGTACAACTTCCTTAGAGATCAGGCCTGGATGGCTATGAATTCATGCAATGGCATATTCCCCAAAGATTAAAACGAACTCGCTCTGTATGACATCTCCAAAACACAATTCTGCAAGTATCAGAATATGAAAACGATAGCACTTATGTAAAATGTGCAAACATGAAAAGCTGCGCTACCTATTTATAGAAGCATCCACAGAGCAAGTGTCCAGCACGGGCGGGGAGACGAATTTTAGGTCAGTGGTTGCCTCTAGGGATTCAAAGGTAATGGGGCTGGGGAGGTCTCCAGGCAGGTTTTGGCTCCACTTACCTTGTCTTACTAGGGGAAAAAGCCAGGCACAGAGGTGATTATTATTTTATTCTCTGCTTTTCTGAAATATTTCATGGAGGTATTTTTTTAAACTTTAAGAAATAGTGTGTCGTAAGGGCACATATTCATGGGGTTCCGAGTGGTGGTTCACCATTCACGTTGAGCACGAGCTGATCAAATGGGGGAAATTAGCTTTTCCTTTTCCTGATCGCTTCTTCATGTTTGGACCTTTGAGCTCCTCTCATCAAGGTCTTCGTAAAATACACGGGCGGTTGTTGTGAGCTGAAGTCAGACTGTGAGGGAAATGGGGGATTGGGCCTGGAAGGTACCTGTGCAAGATGGAACAGGTTTGTTGGTTAGCTGGAGGCGTGAGGGGAATGAACAGTAGCCAGGCTCGCGGGAGGAGGACGGCCAGCTGGCCACATTTCGGTGGACGCAGGAGGCAGATGCTGTGCTCTTAGCCTGGATGGGAAAGGGGCGCCTCTTCCTGAGATGCATTCAAGACAGAAGGCAAGTGAAGTTGACATGGGTGTCTTGGAAACTGAAGCCATCCCCACCTGTGTCCTTGACTTTTGCAGGAAAGGAGGAGGTACAGGGTGGAGTGTGGGGTGGAGAAAGAGGAACGGTAGCCAGTGAGGGACTTTGCCCTGTAATTTCCCAGGTGGAGCTATGGTGGGGTGGTGAGGGGACAGCCGGGGACAGAAAGGTGAGGTGGACACAATACCCTGAAAGCAGAGGGGGACTTCATTCGGGACTTGCATAGCCTTGAGGAGGTGATGGTGAACCTCAGCCGTTATCTGTGGATTTTCACCAGTAATGTCCAGAGAACAATTCTGTTTCCTCTCTTTGCTTCTCTCTGTAAGTATTTACTAGGTACTCGTTACAACTGGACAGCTTGCTGGCTCTGCTGACCAAGTGATGGGTAAAACAAAGTTCTCCCTGGGAGGAGCGTAGGGTGTAGTGAAGGAGACAGATGTACAGAGGGCGGATTGCTCAGGGACACCCCGGGGGGTTCTGGGAAGAGGGGAGTCTGCTGCACTTTGAGGGTGAGCCGGGAGCGGTGGGCGGACAGAGAGAGGTAGGCGCCCTGCCCAGTGAGGGGAGGGCCGCAGAGGCACAGGAGAGTGGAGAGAGGATGAGGGGGCAGGGTGCCTTCTAGACCTGCCCTTGTGTGCCATGCCGAGAACACAGACCTGACCCCAGTGATGAAAGCTAGTGAGAAATTTTAAGCAAGAAAGAGAGAGGCATGGTTATACTTTGCATTGGCAAAATCATCTTAGTGCATCGCCCAGAAGGGACAGCAAGAAAAGATGAGGCCCTGCAAGAAAACCGCAGAAGAAAGAGCAGATCTGAGGCATGTTCCGGAGATAAACTCTGGCTGGGGCTGTAGCGCAGTGGTAAAGTGCTTGCCCAGCATGCACAAGGCCAGGGGTTCAATCCCCAGCACTGCAGCACAAACAGGCAAACAAACAATGCAAAATAATAAAAATTTGGTTGAAGTCCACCAACACTTAGAGTAGGAGAAAGGAAGACTGAGAAGGGGCGGCCAGCAGCGGAGGTTTTGAAAGGAAAACGGTAGTGCGAGCCAGAGGGGGTGGAAAGTTAATACCGCTGGTGCTTTAGAGTGGCCTTAAGTCAGTGCCACGGAAAGAGCCCTTTCAGAACGAAGGAGAGCAGGCCTGGTGTGGGGGGCACTTCGTAGCATCCTAGCCTGAAGAGGGAAACAGGTGGCTGTGCCCACCCTTACGTGGGCAGAGGGTGTGGCAACGTGGGAGAGACAGGTGCCTGCAGACAGATCGCCTGGAGAGTGCCAGCTGGGGAGAAGCAGCCACTGGTGAAGGCCACACTGAAGATGGGTTTGGGAGATGGTCCTCGAGGCCGTCTTACAGGAGATTGCGGGTCCAATGTGTCATCTTGGCAAGGAGGGTGACACTTCTGGCATTGAGGGAAAGAGACGGAGATAGCAGCTGAGGACTGTAATTTTTAGGTAAAAGAGTGTGAAATTGGGGAAATGCATGTCTGATAACTTCAGGTTCCCCTGTGGGGAAGCTGGGTCCACGTGGGGAGGGGAGAGGCTGGGGAGGTTGGAGGCTGCGGACAGATGGTGCAGGCAGTCTGGGCTCGGCCAGCTGGGGTCGGGAGCCGTGGGTCTGCAGCCACCCCATCTCTGCCGCAGTGGGTCTTTGTTTTCCCCTCCACAGCACCATAATCTGGCTGAGTACAGGGCAGGTGGATAATTTGATTCCTTTGGAATATTGGGTTTCAGAGAAGATGAAACAGCAAGACAATGGACGGGGTTTGAGTCCTTCTTTGGAGGGTAACAACTAGCACCAGGAAGTAGCTGATGGGTCCAGAAAGAAAGGGAAGGGTTCTGGAGCAAGGGCTCTCCATGCAGTAGAAAAATGGTGAAGCTGAGTGGTGACGGATGGGGGAAGCCCAGAGGATGGTACAGTGATCAGAAATGGGGATTCGGGACTTGAAAGTGTGGCAGGGTGGATCGGGTCCAGTGGGGCTGAGCTGCTGCCCCGAGAGCTGAGGACGCTGGGGACGTAGTCAGCTCACTCACAGGTGCATGGATGCCTGAAGGTGTTGTGGTGAGAGTGGGCAGGATGGAGAGGGAGTAGAGGAAACCTAGGCCAGGAGTGAAAGGAGAAATCTAATTTTCTTCTAAAAAAGTCTGAGTAAGTAGCAGATTGAAGATTCACACCAGGGCCTCAGCAGTACAGCACTTGCCTAGTGCACACGAGGCCCTGGGTCCAACCTCAGCACAAGGGGGAGGCGGAGAGAGCGAGGGGGAGGGGGATAGAGCGAGGGGGAGGGGGATGGAGCGAGGGGGAGGGCTGAAGCAGGGCCAGCTTCTCTCTGCCTCTCCAGGCGACTCGGACATCCCGCAAAGCCATCGCCTTTGGCAAGCGGGCACACTCCATGAAGCGGAACCCCAGTGCCCCTGTCACCAAGGCAGGCTGGCTCTTCAAGCAGGTGAGGCCACCTTGCCGCTCCTCCCACCGTAGCTACCCCTCTGCTCACAGCTCTGCGGCCCCAGTGACTCTTTGGGATGTCCTCCCCGTGCGACCTCCCCCGCGCACCCAGCTCCCGCCCCTCACGCCCGCCCCGTGTGCCCCGCAGGCCAGCTCCGGGGTGAAGCAGTGGAACAAGCGCTGGTTTGTGCTGCTGGACCGCTGCCTCTTTTACTACAAAGGTGAGCTCGCCCGGCGCCACCACGCCGTCACCCTGCCTGGGCACTGGCCCTGCCTGGGGTGGGCGTCGGCAGAGAGCTCGCCCCACTGTAGCTCTGGCCCACTCAGCCGCGGGCCAGCAGTGTCTATGGGTGCCACACGGGGTCAGGCAGGGTTCGGGGTCCTGGTGCCACTGGGTGGACAAAGGTGACGGGGAAGACAGGAGAAGCTCCGAGAGGGTGGCTACTGGTTACTAACAGGAAGCTTGGGCGTTAATCTTCTCCCGTCCCACGGGAGCATGCGGTCAGACCTGAGGGCGGAGTTTTGCCAGTTTCGTTTACTGCGGAGTTCACAGCACCCAGAGGAATGTGCCGTGCACCGTAGGTGTCCAGCTGACACTGAATAAGTGAAAAACTCCTGTGCCCACCCTCTCAGCACCCCACACTCACCCCCAAGAGGAGGAGGGCGGGATTGGGTAACTGGCACAGCCTCCTCTGGGCAGTTATTGTAAAATATGCACAGTGATGCGTCCAGGAGGGCAGGGCAAGGACTGCTGACAGTAGGGAGGCCTCCTGGCAAGCCCTGGAGTGGGAGGAAGAGGTGAGGGCATAGGGAGAGGAGGGGACCATGACCTAGAAGCAAGAGAAGCCGTTTACTCCACTTCCTCGCCCCGGATGGCTGAGCTCTGCTTCCCTCAGGGCTCCTCGGGGCAATTTGGTGAATCATTAACTCTGGCAAACAAAGTTATACCAGTGTCCCTGGGCCCTCAGGGATACCTTGGTTGTGGCCAGCTGAGCCCTCAGGTTAGAAGGGAGGAAGGGGCTGGAGATGCTGGGCCAGTGGAAAAAAGCCTGAGACTGGAGAAGGAGAATCTGCCCCTACCCTGGCCCAGGTGCTGAGCGAGCCTGGGGACCAGGACTGCTCCGGAGCCAGGTGGGACCGGACTGGGAAAAGGCCCTGTCCCTGTGGAGGCGGGCAGGATGTACTGCAAATAGGGTCACTGTCCACCACGTGGTGGCCTTTCCTGTTGCTGGGCAGTTTGTCAAGGAGAGAGGTTTGTTGTGGCCCCTGATCCTGGAGAATGGGAAAGCAGAGAGCATGGTGCTGGCTGCCGCTGGGCTCCCGGGGAGGCCTCGCTGCCTCACGCCTCGCTGCCTCACCTCAGGCGGAAGCAGAAGGACAAGCAGGTGCATGTGGCCAAAACAAAGCCCGAGGGCAGTGTCGCTTTATGGCCATCTGCCCCTGGAGGAGCCCATGCTGTGAGGACTTCATCCCTCCGCAACCCCCTTTACTTTGGGAATCTGATTTCAGTCTGACTTTTTCATGCAAACCACAGAACGCCCCTGAACACCGGCCTGGACCCTGCCAGGCAGGGCACCACTTCCTCTTGAGGTCAGCTCCAAAACCGGGCTTTCAGAGTCCCTGGCCCAGGGAACAAATAGCCATCCCAGAGGGGAAGTGAGGGCCTTGCCGTGCCCCGCCGCGTTTGTCCCCCACTGTCCCGCAGAGCACCCTGCCCTGTCTGGCCTCCTGCTGACAGCTGGGCTGATGAGCTAATCCTTCAGGCTCCTGTGCAGAGTCAGGATGAATTATGTAAGAGCCCGATTGTTAGCTGGGTCCTAGGGATAGCGGGGGGCCTCCGAGGGTCTGCAGCAAGCTGCCGGGAACCCAGAGCAGCCAGAGTGGAAGGAGGGCAGGTGTCCTTGCCGTGTCCCGTGCCATCCCCCTGCAAATTGTGGCTGGAATGGTCCTTCTAGAAGATAGGGTAGAGGTCACGAAGGGTCACTTTGGAGTCATGCTTCTTGGGTTCAAAGACCACTTCCACCGCTGACTACGCAAGGGGCCTTGGGCAAATTCCTTAGCCCCTCTGTCTTCAGTTCCTTACCTGTTGTATGGGGGTAATGGCAGCACCTCTTCAGGGACGGTTGAGTCCAGCAGGACATTTGACTCACACCAGTGTCTGACACAGGTGAGCACGCCCAGTGTCAGCCCTGAGTGTGAATTTGTGCATTAGAGCACATAAATACCCGGAGCGGGGGATCCCACTTCCCTCTTCACAACCTCGCTATAGTGCAGTGTCTGAAACAGCATCCGCGGGGACCCCCACCCCCAGGAGTGCCTGTGGCCCTGGTGTGTAAGCAGCAGTAGGTGGCATCGGGAATCCCGTGTGTACACCTTTCTGTGCCTCTTTCCCCGGCAGATGAGAAAGAGGAGAGCATCCTGGGCAGCATCCCCCTCCTGAGCTTCCGAGTCGCGGCTGTGCAGCCCTCGGACAATATCAGCCGGAAGCACACATTTAAGGTCAGTCCGGCCTCCTCTCTGGGGTCACACGCACAGGCCCCACGCTCGTTTCCCTTAGGAATCCCAAGTGGCAGTGGGGGAGGAGGGAAGAGGGAGGAGGCAGGGGCCCGGGGGCTCAGTCTGGGTTACTGTGAGGCTGGGCTGGGTCCCCTGAGGACCCCAAGGTGGCTGTTTTCCCCTGAGGTGGACCAGAAGAGTGCACCCCCTTTCGCTGGGGAACAGTCGTGTCCTAAGCGCTGGGCCTCCTGCCAGTGAGGGCTGTGGCTGGTGAGGTTCTTTTTGGGAAAGGACTTATCACCTTGGGCCCAAGGACCTGGACCCCTGGTGCTCAAATTTCAATCTTTAGAGAAAATTAGGAGTTGATTTTCATTCTGACTGGAGCTGCAAACTTTATATAGACAACAATTTGAGAGAACAAGGGCCCAGGAAAATGGGGCTGGCTGCCTGCTCAGAGTCACTTCCTCAGAGCCCCGGGGGACCCGCCCAGCAGAGGCCTGCCTGCAGCTGGCTCATCCTAGGCCAGTGTTTTTCCACCCTTAAAAATTCAAAATTCATGACCCATTAAAACTACAAAAATCCCATGCCCTTTTGGTGTTTTGCGATGCAAAAGCCATAGGTTTCTCTTTGCTATATATATATATATATATATATAAATAAACATCGACTATGTGTTTCCTTAGGATAGAGCCCTCCCTCCCTCAGTTGAGAATTGTTGTCCAAGTCCCTTAAAACCAAAGCTGTGCTGTTAGATGATAAGATCTGCAAGTCACAGCAGCCCAGGAGCTGGGCTCCTAGGGCCCTCTCTGTCCAGATGGGGTCAGCTGGCTACAGAAGAGAGAGGGAGCAGGCAGAGTTCTGCCCTGGGGAACTAGAAGGGGCTTATTTGCCACATAATTACTTTCCAGCCTCCCGGGGTCTTGTGTGGCAGAGGTGTGAACAGAATGAACAATTAATAAAACTCTGACTCCAGGGAGTGGGATTCTAGCTGGGGAAATAGGAGCAGGCTGTTTAACCAACAACAAAGGGTCCTGCGTGCATAGCTACACTTATAGACCCGCGTCAAACAGCCTGGCTCCCCCTCCCCACCAGACCTGTCAGAGACACACACCCGGCTTGGATCAGGCCAGATGGCAGCGTCAGATAAACACCTCAGAACGATGACACAGTGTGCCCCAAAACCCAGAAGTCACTTCCGTGCCCCACAGTGCCGCCCCTCAGCTCCAGCGCCCACCTGTCCCTTGTCCTGGTTGGTGCTGCCCCTTTAAGGCCTGGCTCTGTTGCCCACAAAGGGTTCTGATTGTGTCTGTTCAGCTGCCCTTCCCCCGGGAAGGGAGGGGATCTGAGACAGCCAGGAGACTTGTCCCGCTGTGGCCACCAAGCCAAACTCTTGGAGGGCGAATACTAAGTAAGGAGCCAGGAACTGCTCTGCCCAGGCTGCCGCTGAATGCTTTAACCTCTCCCAGACCAGCCAAGCCAGGGCTGTACCTGAGGGACAACTTTTGAGTTCTCTGGCCCCTTCCGTGATTCTGGGCCAGCATCCCTCCCACTCCCCGTTTTTTCCCAGGCCCTCTGCCTTCCTTGTCACAAACACGTGTTCCTGGGCCTGTGTCAGCTCCTTGTTTCCCGTGGCATGTTTTGCCCCACTGTGACCGCAAGCTCAAGTGCAAGGGCGCCCCTGGGCCTTTCTTTGCCTGGTGCTGTGCACCAGTGAGCTATTCACACAGACTGCTTGCCGGATGCTCGCCGAATCAGTGGATTTTTTTAGCTGTCCACTTCCCCCATCCAGGACGTGCTGCCTGTCCTCCCCGTGCCGCCTGCCCCTCCACAGTCAGCCTGTGTTTTTCACCAGAGGGCTGGCCGGGCACCAGGCTTCTGTTCTTGTGTGGCTTCAAGTCCCCATGGCCTCCTTACCGCCCCTCTCGCTGTCCATCAGCCCCTTCCCGGCCTGTCCCACACTGTCCTCGACTCTGCCACACGCTGGCCCTCGGCTGGAGGGTGGGGAGCGGCCGGCAGGATCCGGAAGGAAGGAGGCCCGTCCCTGCCCTTTGCTGGGGAAGGGGAGGTGGGGCCTCGTGAAGGTTGGGCTGGGGACATCTGAGGTTGTGGGTTTGAGCTTGCTGCTTGGAGGAGCACGGAGGCCGTCGGGGAGCCCTGGTCCTCTCCCCGCAAACCCAGACCTGCGGAAATCGGAGACCAGAATGGGCCTCGCCTCCCAGACATCGTCACAACAGGATCCCTTCTGTTAAGTGCAGTAAACCAGCCTACCTGGTTTGGGGGATCTAGAGGACCAGGTGAGACCCCAGAGAAAATGTACAACTGTGGCCTCTTTTGCTCGTGGCCAGTGAAGCTTGAGTGTTTCCGGGTGACCCCCGCCCCAGGGAACAAGCAACCTGCCTGCAGCAGCGGGGGCCAGAAGCAGAGAAGGCTCAGCGCTGGGGTCCCCTGCCCAGATTCCCACTGTGCATCAGGGTCGCTGCCTGTCACTCCCTGCAGGGACCCTGAGCAGCAGGGACCGTCTGAACCCCTCCCGTCCTGCTCACCATTTCCTGCCTCTTGTCTGTCTCTCCCTCTGGTGTCGGTTGACCTGTTCTCTGCTTCTCCTCCTCCTGACCACACGAGGACTCCTCCTCCAACAGGAGCTCTCTTCTGGGTTCCCACTGTGCCTGCTCCTGGCCGCCAACTAGGTAGTGTGCCGCATCTCTACGCCAGCGTGCGCCCTTGCATGCCTCGGTCGGGGCTTGGCTGTCTCCCCGCGGGGAGGAGACAGGGCTGAGACCAGTGTGTGCTGGGGCCATCTCCCCAGGACCACAGTGATTGCCACATGCCAAATTGGAGGGCAGAGTGGGTGTGATAATTGTCCCTCCCCACTTACAGTCACCTCAGGGGGGACAGGTAGACTTGCCTGGCTTCTGGGTGGCCTGGTGGCATTCGGAGACCTAACCAAGGCAGCTATGTGGATGCCAGCTGGAGCCTGTGGTTGAGCGTGGATGACACACCTCACCTTGGTCCTGAGCTCGGCCTGGGGAGAGCTGCAGGCCCAGGAATGGCCCGACTGACTGCCTCTCCTGTGGGTGTCGGTGTCCTCTCCCTACAGGTGACTGTGTGCTGGGTAGATGAGGCCAGGGCCAGTTCCACGCACTGCCTCTCCCTGCAGGCCGAGCATGCCGGCGTCCGCACCTACTTCTTCAGTGCCGAGAGCCCCGAGGAGCAGGAGGCCTGGATCCAGGCCATGGGGGAGGCTGCCCGGGTACAGATCCCTCCAGCCCAGAAGTCTGTGTCCCAACCTGTGCGTCACAGGTGAGTGCAACGCACCTGGTGTGGGAGGGAGGACAGAGGCATGGAAAAGGTGCTCGGTGCAGGACCATTGCTGAGCCCAGGGAGCTGCCGCAAACCTCTGGGCAGCTTGGGAACCGAATCCTTGCATCCTAGCAGGGGTTTGGGGAGGGGATTGCAGAGCCTGAGGTCTACTGCCTGCTGGCTCCTCCGCTTCACTCCGAGCTGAGGGAGGCAACAGAGAGCCAGGTCCCTTCGGGCCTGGCCAGGAGCCAGAGGTGAGAGTCAGGTTGTTGTTCTTGGCCTTGTGTGTTAGGGACACAGCCCCAGGGAGGATAGTCAGGGTTTGCATCACTGTGGCCCCTTGGCTGCAGTGTGACCTCCATGTAAGTGACTTGATCTCTCAGATCCTGAGCTTTCTTTCCTCCCAAACCAGTGATTACGGTCTTATCACACAGGCTGCCGTGAGGGCTACAGTTTGATACACTTGATGTGCAGCAGACACTTAGCGTATGGCTGCTCTCAGCACCCGCCAGCCCCCAGGCTCCGTGCCCATCTCTCCTTCAGCTGGGCGTGGAGCCTTGGGTGAGGTGTTAGTGGGGATCCAGAAGAGGGGGCTCTGCAGCACAGACCAAGTCTAACCATGTGTCTTAGGAATGTTTATCTGGCAGTGTTTCCACACGGAGGCCTGAATTGCTCAGCCTCAGGAAGCTCTAGGGAGAAAATTGTCCTAAGGCTCCAATTCGTGCACTCCCAGTTCACTTGAAGGCTGGGGTGCAGCTTCGGGGCAGAGCACCTGCCTCACGTGTACAAAGCCCTATGTCCCAGCGCGGCAAAACAAACAAGAGAAGAACAGAAGCTCCTTCATTCACCACACTATTTATCTAGTCATTTATTTTATTTCTGCAGTACTGGGTATTGAGTGCCCAGGGCCTTCGTACTAAGCTACAACCCAACAGCACCCTCCTGCCCCCTTTGGAGATAGGGACTCACTAAGTTGCTAAGTTATCCAAGCTGGGTACAAACTTGTGATCCTTCTGCTTCAGCTTCCTAGAGGGCAGGGACTGGCGGCCTGAGCCTCCAGGCCTGATTTTTCTTTGACTAATACTTCTTGTGGTTATCAATGTGTGCACCCCTATACCAAATGCTAGGAATACGAGGGAGGCGACTTCCGGCCCTCACGGAGCCTGCCTGTGGATGGAAGTCAGTCCCGGAGGAACCTGTTTTCGAGAAGGGAAGGGGGCGTGTCTATATGCCCACAAATTTGGGAGCAGCGCCTTCTGCCCCTGTTGCCTGCTGCGTTTCATCTGCTGTTCTGGGGTGGTGGCCAGAGGTGGTGCCAGGGAGGAGCCCAAAGCTTGGGGAGTGAAGCAGCTTTCTGGGGGAGGGAAGGCGAGCTGTAGCAAGCCTCTGTAGCTAAGCGCCGTTCGCCATGAAACTTTAGTGTCGCACCGACTCATTTGGATTGAGGAAGGGTAAAGGTGACAGGACCAGGGGGGCTGAGTCTTGGCCATGGCCCAAGGCCGGACTGAACGCAGCAGCAGGGGGGTGGAGCATGACCTGCGGAGACCTGGAGGGCAGGACCATCTGGACAGGCATGGGCAGGACTACTGTGTGTTGCTTAGTGATTGCCCAGGCTGCAGCAGGAGATAAAGTCTAGGATTTGGAAAGTAGGATCGGAAGTGGCTGCATCCTGGTTCTCTTGCTACCTCCTTGCCCTTGCCTCCCCAGTCCTCTTCTCCTGCCCAGTCTGCCAGCCCTGCCCCTCTCCGTGACGGGCTGGAGTCACTTACAGCATCTCCCTTGGCATCCTGCAGCCACGAGAAGCCAGACTCCGAGAACATCCCACCCGGCAAACACCGCCAGCAGCCCCCGCACAGCAGCCTCCCCAAGCCCGAGCCGGAGGCCAAGACTCGAGGGGAGGGTGATGGCCGGGGCTGTGAGAAGGCCGAGCCGAGGTCGGAGAAGCCGGAAGTCAAGAAGGAGCCTCTGGTGAAAGCCAACGGCATCCCAGCCGGACCCGAGCCGGGCTCAGAGCCGGGCAGCCCTTACCCCGAGGGCCCCAGGGCTCCAGGGGGCGGGGAGCAGCCGGCCCAGCCCAATGGCTGGCAGTACAGCTCCCCCAGTCGGCCAGGGAGCACGGCTTTCCCGCCTCAGGACGGAGAGAATGCGGGGCACCGGCAGAGCTTCCCACCACGCAACAACCCGGACAAAATTGCCCAGCGCAAGAGCTCCATGAACCAGCTGCAGCAGTGGGTGAACCTGCGCCGAGGGGTGCCGCCCCCCGAAGACCTTCGGAGGTGAGGCCTGGCTGGGTGGGGGTGGACCTGGGTCCGTCTTGGCCAGGGTGCGGGAAGGGGTTTAACCTTTGAGGTAACCCCTGTTGGGAACCTTCTGGAAGCCAGGCTAAGCCGGGAGACGCAAACAATCCCATGATTCCCAGCTTGCCCAAATCCCTTGCCACATCACGGTTCCGTCTTCAGGGTTTGTGTGTTGTCCCTGTTTCCTGCTTTCTCTGTCTGCGTGCTTCCAAAAAGATAGGGCAACGCAGTACCTTTCCACAGGGTGCTGTGGGGAGCCCAGGAATCTGGCAGGTTTGGTGAGGGCCTCAGCATTGTTCCGGTCTGGCATTGGTCCATGCTGTGGATCCTGTATCATCTTATCTGGTGTCACTGCAGACACCAGACCCACAGGCTACCGAGCCCACCCACTTCGTTTTTGAATAGTTCTGTTATTTTAAAGCTATTGTTTATAGAAAATTTTTTGTTTGTTATGTTTGAATTTTGGCTTTTTTATTGTTGTTTTTTTTTGTACTGGAGATCAAACTCAGGACCTTACACTTGCAAGGCAGGCAACAGAGCCATTGAGCTAAATCTCCAGCTTGTTTGAATTTTTGCAACAGTCTCACCGTGTAGTTCAGGCTAGCCTTGAACTTGCAATCTTCCTGCCTCAGCCTTCTGAGTGCTCAGATTACAGGTACACATACACACAGCTGGAAGTCTTGTGTGTTTTGTGTATGTGTGTTTTGTTCATTTTTTATTTTTTAAAAAACAAAGCAACTCATTGGTTCTAATACTGTCCTCAATGACCAATCTAATGACTGGCTTTCAAATATTTGAGCATATTTATTAGGCCTGATAATTCAGTTTCTGGCCAGCTCTTTTCCTGGGGGGCTCTAGGGGCCCCCTTTCCAGCCTCCGGGTGGCCCTGGGCTTGGGAGACACCCGCCCTCTAGCGGCTGGTCTGCAGCTCGCTGCTGGCGGCCCGAGCCACCTTGGGACAAGTCACAAGAAGCTGCCGAACCGAACAGGTTTCATGCCCTTCCCTCCTCCTCTGCTGCCTGCTTTCAGGTGCCCAGGCTTTTTCTTCTCTTGCCTCCCTCGGAAAGAACCTGATAGATTGGTTCACAGTCCCTCCCAGGGCATTTCATCTTAAAGGGACAAAGATCGAAGCTCAGCGGTGCCCTTTCTGGGTACAGGGAGCTGCTGGGGGAGGGGCTAACCCTCACACTGGAATTCCCTCTTTCGCGTACTCAGAACCCAGCTTGGGGCCCATCCACCTGTCCAGCGCCTGCTCTCACAGAGGACATGGGGGTGGATGGACAGACGTTCCCGTTGTGTCTGCTCCCCTTACACGGTCCTCGCTCTTCAGCCCCTCCAGGTTCTATCCCGTGTCCCGCCGGGTCCCTGACTATTACGGCCCCTACCCCTCCCAGTACCCCGACGACTACCAGTACTACCCTCCAGGGGTGAGACCCGACAGCATCTGCTCCATGCCCGCCTTCGATCGGATCAGCCCGCCCTGGGCCCTGGAGGACAAGCGCCACTCCTTCCGCAACGGGGGCAGCCCCGCCTACCAGCTGCGCGAGTGGAAGGAGACGGCGGGCTACGGCCGGCAGGACGGCCCTGTCTGGATCCCCAGCCCCTCCCGGCAGCCAGTTTACTACGACGAGCTGGACGCCGCCTCGGAAAATATACGAACTTTTAAAACGATTCTGACTTGATCCATACATGCTTCGCGAACTCAGGAAGGGAAATGGGATCATCTGGTCACTGGAGCTGTGGTTATTTGAAAGTTTACTCATAAATCATCCAGATGATTTCCTTAATTTGCTGTGCTTTCTATATTTTTAGAAGTTGCTATTCTTGGTTTTACATTCAAAAGCAAGGCACTTTTTCATTTAACTATAATATTTCACCAGCGCCCGCTTTGAGCGGCTGCCGCCCCGCAGCGAGGACATCTACGCAGACCCCGCCGCCTACGTGATGAGGCGATCCATCAGCTCCCCCAAGGTGAGCCTCCCGCCGCCCCCCTTCCTCATCCTCCGCACCACGTGGTGAGAAGAGGTGGCCATGCAGGTGCACCGGCCATGGGGGCCGCTGGCTGTGTGAGGACTGTGATCCACCCAGGCTGGCCCCTGGCCTAGGGTTCCACCCCCAGGAGAGCTGAGCAGGGATGGCTGCGGCCTGAGTAGGAGCCTTGCTCTTGTGCCCGTCTCCAAGTTGTGCCAGGAACCATCCTATCCACAAGAGGGCAGAGAGGGCCTGTCTTTCCCATCTTGAGGACTTGGACAGATACTGCACGGTGGGGGTGGGGGTGGCTACCTTCCGCATTCGTTTGAATTCTACTCTGGGACAGGATATAGATATCCCTAACCTTGCACTGCAGCTGGTGGGGAAGTCCGTGTCCCAGCCGGACCCTCTCACCTCTGCAATCCCCTTTCTCTTCCAGTATGATTACCTGGGAGACAGGCGGCCAGTCCCTGCAGGACTGTTCCCCTACAACTACCCACCATCCCCCACGGTCCACGATAAGATGGTACGTCCTCTCCTCCCCACGCTCTGCCTCAGGACCTCTCCTGCCTCCCCCCAAGGCAGAGCTGAACAGGGATAGGTGCCCTGTGCCCAATGCCTGGCCTCTTGTGTTTTTAAGCAGCCTCTGGATACCTCCTCCCTCCCTCCTGGCCAGGCCTCTGACCCCAGTAGAGTTCAGTGCCAAGGCAGAGGAGAGGGACGAGATCTGAGCTCGTGTAATGTCCCGATTGTGCCAGCCTCAGCACAGCTCTCCTCTCCAGCATGCCGGGGAAGGGGCATGACAAGGGTCTCAGGCTGCGAACTGGACCCAGAGTCAGCCTCGGGCTCCTAGCTCAGGCAAGAGCTTCTAGATACCCCCGCAACCCTGTGTATTTACTGTAAGTCTTCCCTTTGCCTGGAATGCCCCCTTTGGGACAGAAACAAATGGCGTGACTGAGGGGGAAGAGATTTTCCACATTGCACTCTCCCCAGAATGTGCCTGTCCTGGGAATGTGTTCCCCTAATGGTCATCTCCGCCTGGACACAGGGGGTGGGGCAGATGCTCCATTTGAGCAGAATCTTTGTCCCATACTCAGCACCAGGAGGCCAGCATGGAGGAGACCTCCTTTCCCCGCACTCGCCTTGCCAGTGCCCAAACCCTATAGCCTTGACCCACAGCAAACATAGCTCTCCAGAAACAGCTGATTTTTGCAGAAAACTCAGAAACACCTGCAAAGAAGGGTGGATTAGACTGCTTCGGTGGTGCTCGATGCTCTCAGACAGGGTGCGGTGGGCCTAGGAAGATGGGGAAGTTGGGACCCAGAGTGCATCTCTCCTCCACTTGCCGCATCCTCGCTGCCCACTCTCCCAAGAACGCCAGGGTCAAGAGAGAGGCTTCTCCTGGACCTCGCCCAGCTAACTCTTAACTGCTCTGCTTCTTTTTTATTGTTTTCTTTTGTGTGTTCCTGTTTGTTTGTGTTGCTGGTTGGCCCCTTGGCCTCGGGCTCCGGGTAGGATGAACTTTTAGATCTTCAGTTGCAAAGAAACCTAGAGTATTTGGACCAGCAGGTAGGCAGAGCTGGTGCCCCTTACCATCCCACTGCCCTCCGGTCGTGTCTCCCTGCTCCTCCCCAACTCCTCATCCTCCAGCCATCTGATAACCTTTGTTGGTACCCCCAGGACACAACAAAGTGGCTTATATTTTGTTTTGCTCCTTCTCACCCCTCCTCTTCACAGCCCTTTTAGGCAGCTGGGGGTTTCCTGGGGAAAAAAGCATTAGAAATGGGCACATAAATAATACAGACTGACCCATATTTCTCCGGTATTCAGCCCGGATGGCCCTGCCCTCAGAGGCAGGTGCAGATTGGCATTTCTGTCAGAGAGAGGAGGCAGAATCGAGACTGGGGGTAGCTCTGGGTTTGGGCCTCAGATGCTAGGGATTTAGTTCAGCCTGGACCTAGGGAATCATGTATTCCACAGGCTGTTGTTAAACTCTGCAATTTGAGAGCAGAGGCCTGTGGACCTGCCCTAAAATGACTTAATGCAATACACTCACTCATTCCCCAACAGAGTTCTTTTGCATATAGAGCTTGCGTTCCTGAGAACTCAGTGCCATAGCCAGAGGCAGTAATGTTAAGCTTTGACTGGCGAGCCAGCTGGACAGGCGCTGTCAGAAGTGTCTGGCTGCCTGGGCTTCAGGAGGCAGGGCTCCAACCCCCGGCCACATTGTCTTTTGAGGCTATGACACACACTTATTTCAGACAGGCAGGAGGCTGACAGGCTGGCCTTTCCATGCACGCATACTCTTATGTCCAGATCTGTGCTACAAAGCACAAGCGATCTGGGAAGACTTGATGGTACCCAGCCGGCCACCTTGGGTGGTATAAACGATGCCGGAGATAGCAATAGTGACGGCAGCACCATGGTTTGATGCTTTCCCTATGCCTCATGCTGTTCGAAGCAGAACAGATCCTAACTTATTAAATGTTTATCATCTCCAAGATGGATGCTATAAATAAAACACAGACATGTTAGGTGATGTAGCAAGGACACAGCCAATGAACAGCACAGCTTGGAATGTAACTGAGGTTTCGACCCAGTTTACAACTGAGGAAACGGCTAACGTGTGACAGCTGGGGTTGAACTTCATCAGGATGATACCATTCTCTAAGAAGTGCAGAAAGAACCATAAACTTGAGATTGGAGGATATAGATGCCTCCGTGTGTCCTTCTAGTCGTGAGACATAGCACCTCACAGGACCTCCGTGTCCTGAGCAGATTCTCCTTGTAGAAGACCTCGGACCCTGGGGAAGCACAGGTGTTTACAGTTTAGGCGGCAAGAGGTGGCCCCCAGCACCTGAGGACCTTGTGTTCTTGTTCCACAAGCAGCGTGTTGTGTCCATACATGAGCGTCCCGAGCCGTGTGGAGACAAGTCCCTGGATGGCCACTCTGAGCAGGCCTGGAAGGGCAGGATGGTTCCAGGGAAAGCATGTGAGCCTGGGAGCGGGAACCTGGCCCCCAGGCTCCTGGGCAGGTGCCCTCCTGCCAGCTGTGGGCTTGGCTGTACTCTAACAACGGCACCTGGCTGTCCAAGCATCCGGGGCACAGGACCTGGGCTGTTCGCCTCCCTCTGGATAAAGAGTAATGAGAGGCAGGCTCGTGTGACAAGGAGAGGCTAGATGCTGCCACCCTAATCCTAGCTCTGCCATTTCTAGGGATTTATAAAAAAAAAAATTAGAAATGTCACCGAATCTCTCTGAGTCCTTATAGTCTCAATTGCAAAATGGACACCTTAGACCCCGCCCTTCCTGCCTCCTGGGCTCAGTGGGAGAATCAAATGAGAAAACATCCAGGAGCTTTCTGTCAGGCTCCATTGGTGAGGAGTGGTGATTGCTGCTCTTACTGCTATTATTTTAATGTCTTCCAAAGCCCAACAAGGTATTAATTGCGCACCACACACTATATTTCAGGCACTGGGTTAGGTACCTTCTCGTGAAAGTGCTCTGACACATTAGAGAGAGGCAGCATGCAGGGGAGGCCCGTGTGGGTGGGAAGACCCCCAAAACCCTAGCACTGGTGAGAGCGGGTCAGGGTGAGGGCATTCTGCTCCCGGCCTGTGTTGCTTTAGACCTGCTTGTAGGGAGGAATGGGTCAGTCTGGGAGGAGCCTGGGCCTCCCTTGTCCTCCCACACCTGATGTTGGAATAGATTTGCTGAGTCCTCGTAGCTCCGCTCTGCAGGAAGATAGGAGATGGCTTGGGTTTGGGTCTTTAGAGAAAATGTAGTTGACGGCCTGGTGACTTTTAACTCCTACAAGGACTGAAAACCTTTTTAAAACGTTTTAAATCATACTTTATGCCAGAGAAGACTTTTTTTTTTTTTGTACTGGGGATCAAACTCGGGTCCTGGTGCTTGCAAGGCAGGCAGCGAAACCACTGAGTTAAATCCCAAGCCCCCCTTTTTTTTAAGATATTTTCAAGTAAGCTAAACAGGTAGAAAAATTAGATCCTAGAAAAGGCTTGCGAAATACTGCAGAGTGCGCGACTCTGGGCAGAGGGTGCCTTGCCCTGTCTGAGCACGAGGAGGTAGAGCTGCGCTGGGGCTGTGGCCTCAAGCAGGTCAGCGAGAGGAGAGGGTGGCCTGATCAAGAATGCGGGGCTGCGGGGAAGACTGTGACCCCAGGCCTTCCCTCCTCTCCCTGAAAGCTTTTCCCGTGTACCTGCCCGTCTCCCACCTTCTGCTGTAGGACAGTGGAGTTAAAGGGACAAGGACGCTCCCGGCAGGCTTCCTTCTGGTCCTCTCACCCTGGGCGCCTGAAGGAAAGGATGGCGTTTCTAGTCGATTTGCTCAGCCTGCCCGGCCCCCTCCGCTTCCTTTCCTCCCTCCCTCTGTCTCTCCGTCTATTTCATTTGGCAAATAGTCTTCCCTCCTCCGTGTGCCTAATGATTCTGGAAATACACAGGTGACATTTGGAGAGAGGGGTTCTGATACCTGGTGGCCCTTTAACGCGCTCGCCTCCTTATCTGCCCCCCAGCATCATCCCCGATCCTCATGGCTGCTGCCAGCCCAGCTCTGGAAGCCGTATTTAGAGTGCCTTGTCCACTGATGCTTTGGGCCGGCGAGGATGACAAGGGCCTGTGCCTGTTGCTTGATGCAGGCCATGTGGAGAGCAGGTCCCAGTTAGTTGTGTTTTTCAGTTGTTTCATTAAGTGCAGATTTGGGGAGCACAGTCTCTGAGCTGTGTGGTCTCTGTCCAGAGTAGTGTGAGAGATGGGAAGGAGGTTAGAGCCCCAGCCAGGTGCGTGGGACCACAGCAGTCACTGGGGAAAGGATCCCAGTGGCCTCTCCGTCACCTGCTGTGGCCTTCCCTCCAGGACAGCATCAGCGCTGGTCCTGAAACAGTTAACAAGGGGTGAGTGTCGGTGAGAGGAGTCCAGGCGCTGGAGGCCCAGAGGAGCTGTCTTCCCCTGAGCTGTCTTCCCCTGCGCCCTGAAGACAGGCCAGGAGGGTGTGTGGAGCTCGGGGTCTGAGGTTGAATCGTCCGTTCCTTCCTCTGCTGCAGATGAGTGAGAGCGAGACTCTCATCAGTATGGTGAACCGCATGGTGGAGAACTCCTCCCCCAGGGCCCAACTCTTCGTGCAAGTAAGGCCTCTGCCCGGCAGCATGGTCCCTGTCATTCATCTCAGCTGCTTGTGCATGGTCGGGTCGCCCCCTGGGATGAGGCTGCTCTGCCCAGCGTGCTCATCTGCAGGGCCTCGTCTCCCCGAGAGAGGCTCAGCCTGCTCCTCCCACACTGCACGGTGTCGCCTCCATTCTTCATGTTCATTGGGGACCCCGAGGCCCACCTCCTGCACCATCATCATGCCACGCTGGGGATTGCAAACCCGCTTTCCAAAGTCCAGGCCACCGACTTGTGTTTGGTGCCTTCTTGACCGACCCTGTGGGGTTTAAGCGTGAGGGGTCACGTGGAAGCATCCAGTGCCAAAGGTGTACAGAACACGCCGTGGCCACTTGCTGCCCAAGGCAAGGCAGCGTAGCTGGACCCAGAGGTGCTGCTGGATGCTCGCCAGTCCTGATTTAGACAGACGCAGTGACTAGGCTGTTTACTAGGACAGTGTTCTCCAGTGTGCCCAGTGCTCGTGCCTCCCTCGCTCCTGTGTCCTGTCCCTGAGGCGGCCAAGGGGTTCGCGGATATTCTCGTGGTCGTTACCAGTGAGCCCTGCAGCCCCTGCAGATCCTGGAGTTTAGGAGCGGGGAACAGCGCCTGAGTCCAGCAGCGTTCTGATCTGTCCAGAGCCGAGGACAATCGGGGTGGAGTCCAGGCAGGGCCATCGCAGGCTCCCTAGCCAGGGGAGCGGAAGCGGCGGGGGTTCTGGGCCGTGGTCTGTGGCAGGAACGGAGCAGGACTGTGATGTCAGCTTGGCTGCCCCACGCCGCACAGCCTCGTCCGCACCTGCTTTAGTAACCAGCCTCATATTCCTGCAGGTCCCTCCGTACCCAGAAGTGTTCCGGGACGGCCTCCACACCTACAAGTTAAACGAGCAGGACACGGATGTAAGGGCAGTTCTCCCTGCTCCCTCTGTTCACGGCAGCCTCCTGCTGCCGCGTCTTCATCCTCACCCTCCTCTGTGGGGCTCTTTCTCCATCTCTCTCTCCCCTTCCGGTCGTGCGTTTGACTCGTGTTCTCTCTCACCACAAACACCACATCCTGCCTGCCTCCTCGTCCCCCGTCTCTCCATCTTACACCGACTCATCCTTGAGCCTTCACACCGGGCCCCGTGTGCTTCGCTTCTCAACCCCAAGCCTGCTTGTCTACAGCGGTGGGTTGGCTCCTAGCAGGATCGCAGGTTTTGTTAGGAGTTAAGTCAGCCTGCTCTGTGCCCGGGGGCATTCGTCCTGCGAGACACCAGTTAACAGTAGGTGGCGACAGAGTCATTTGCCTAATGGGACCACTGAGCATTTCTGCAGGCATAAAAGGAGGTGAGGCTGTGTGGGGCCGCAGGTTAGGGACAAAGCACGCAGCTTGTGAGCTGGGCCTTGAAATTCAAAAGCCCAGAGGCTGAAATGTGGCTCAGCAGAATGGACTAGGAAAGGTATGTCTGTCTTTCCGGAAAAGAAGGTCATCCTGACCTCTCCCTCCAATCACTGCCAGCCCTGCTCAGGCCGCTGTATGGTGGGCTGGCCCAGGTTTCGTCAGGGAAGGACCACAGCTAAGAGGGACTCCGGGATCAGCCATCCTGAGTCCGTAGAGTGAGGGTGGTGGACTCGGGATGAGGGAGGAGGGGGTTCCTGTGGACCGAGGGGCCCATTCACATCGCACGCTGCTTTTTTCTAAGACTGCTTATTCCACCACTTGCCTGTCCCACCCACCCAGCAGAGGAGGTGAGATCACATTATCTTCCCAGCCCTCTGTGTTCCGATGCACTCCAAAGGGCGATGTGGGTACAGGAGCCTAGTGCCAGGCTCCTAGCCCTCTTCTCTCGAGAACTGAGAATAAATCTCCCTTCCCAAGAGGGAATCCCAGCTTCCTCTTCCCAAGCACCACCAAGGTTGTGAAGGCCCGGGGCTCATCAGCAAGGAAGGAAGGTGGTATCCAGAGGCCAGGCCCTTCCAACCCAATTCCCGGGTCCCCACCAAACCGTGTCCATCATCCCCTTTTGTCTCCCTCCCTCCCCGCCCTGGGCCCCCAGAAGCTGCTGGGCAAGCTGTGTGAGCAGAACAAGGTGGTGAGAGAGCAGGACCGGCTGGTGCAGCAGCTCCGAGCAGAGAAGGTGAGCGCTGGGTGGCCCGCAGGTGGGGCTGGCTTGGAGGAGGTGCAGGCTGCTGTCTCCATCCTCCTCTACCTGACAAAGCTTCATCCTTCCTTAGACACCTGTCCCACTCTTACTCAGAGCTGCCTGAGGTTTTCCAGGGCCGCAGGCAGTGTGAGAACCACCTCCACTCGCCTCTCTGCTCGAACCATTAGGGGCTCGGGCCTCTGCTATTAAAAATCCAAAGGAGCTGTCAGGGCAGCTCATACCATGCCCCTGCCTTTCTTTAGGAGAGCCTGGAGAGCGCTTTGATGGGGACTCACCAGGAGCTGGAAATGTTTGGAAGTCAGCCTGCCTACCCTGAGAAGCTGCTGCACAAGAAGGAGTCCCTGCAAAATCAGCTCATCAACGTCCGGGTGGAGCTGTCGCAGGCGACCACGGTAACCTGGCACCTGGGTCTGTGCGCCTCCCATTTGTGCTGCTTTACTCCGCATTCTCCTGGGAGGGTGAAGCATGGTGCTCCTGCCTGGGAGGCACAGAGGCAAAGACCTTAACATTTCCTGGACAGTAGACAGCGAGTACGTGAGCCTGCTGGTTCCCGACAGTCTGCCCCCGGAAGTGGGCTTCCTGCCCTCAGACCTAGCCATACCAGGATCCCTTTGATACAGCATGAAGTTGAAGGCTGCTGACTTTCTCGGGTGCTCTAGTGCCTCTGCTGCCCACTTAGGCCCTCTTCCTTGGAGAAGATGCTGCAGCAGAGGCCTCAGGGAAATGTGGCCCAGAAAAGAGAACGGTCCCTCACTCCAGGGAATAAGCAACTTCTTGCAGGCCCTTTTCTCTTTGCCTTCAGTGGTTGTCCCTGAACGTAGGCACAAAAGGGAGATACAGAAGCACCCCCCTTGGCCTGTGGCCGGCCATGCCTGAAGGATTCAGCTTGCTCTCTTTCTAGTCTGCAGTGGCATACGCTGTTACCCGTCTTGTACAGCAAGGTTGTCTCAGCCTTGTGCCCCCGCCGGCCCCATTGCAGGACATGGAGGCTTCGGTGTCCGTAGCTTTCTCAGTGAACCCCTCCCTGCAGGCGCTGACCAACAGCACCGTGGAGTATGAGAACCTCGAGTCCGAGGTCTCTGCCCTGCACGAGGACCTCTGGGAGCAGCTCAACTTGGACGTCCAGGTGAAGAAGCACCCTGAGCAGCGGAGGGCGGGACGTGCTCTGTGCCTTTCCTGATCCTTTTGGACGAAGAGGACCACAGTGGTCTCCTTTCTCACTTTACCAAACTGAGAGCCTTATTAAGCTGAGGGGTTGGTCCCGAGATAAAAGCGAGGCTCAGGCTTCTTACAGCAGACTCTGAGATTCGGGGTGAAGATAATGTGGGATTCTTTATTCCCACCAGCTCAGGAGAAGGAGCACGGGAGACAGGTTACACATAGGGTGGGTGCTCTAGGCCTGAAAGGAACTGAAAAACAGCCTTGTAAGCATAAATATCTTACAGGAAAAAGGGAAGGCAGGCAGTGTACAAGTTTTAGAAAGGAATGGGACTGCCCTTCGTGGGAAACCGTCAGCTTGGGGGCAGGAAATGGATTAGAGATTTTGGCAGAGGTCTTTTCTTCCCCCTCCTTTCTCTACCCGGGCCCTACCTCCTCTCTGGCTAGTTTTACAAGCCCTGGTCTTCTGATGCATTAAATACCTTGTTTCCCCCACTTTCCTCCTGGTAGCAGCTGGTTGGCAGGGTTAAGACCCAGATGCTATCATGTCCCGTAGGCAGGCCACACTCCAGACACACACACACATTTCAGGAGGTAGGGTGGGGTCGAAGCCAGGAGCATCTGAGTCAAACTGATCGGCATCCAGATGGTGGCCAGTGTTGATGGGGTAGTGGTGAACCCGGCCACCTTCCTGGCGGCAGCCTCGCCACTTACAACAGATGATCTTGGGCACGAGTACCCTGGATGCGTGTCTCGTCTCAGGTGGGAACAGCTGGAATGCATCAGTACAAGCAAAGGGCTTAGCCTGGTGCCTGGCATTCAGGGCTGCTGCGTAAGTGGTAGTTCGTGACTTTGGCCTGTGTTAGGTGGGTATTGCAAAGGGGCTGTTTGAATGCAAAGAGAAATCAGATAGGAAGTTCTCGCCCCATCAGAATGGCTACTGCTTAGAGAGGCATTTACTCTCAGACTCCCCCCACTCCAGGCCCCCTGGGGTAGCTCAGAAAGATGGGCCCTCACTCTCTTAGTTCTGAGGCTCTGGGGGCACAATTTTATACAGCTGAAGAGGCAAAGTCTGCCCAGGAGAAAGACACCTGTGTGTGCTAGAAAGGTGTGCGTGTGTGTGGGTGTGTGTGGGTGTGTGTGTGTGTATGCGTGTGTGGGCACGTGTGTCTGTGCGTGTGTGTGCAGGGGCATCGCCAGGGTTCCTGCCTCCTGCAGATCCAAAGCGATGCAGATCCAGGAGCACTAGGGTTGGCGAGAGGGCTGGGACCTCCCTCATGGCCACTTCCTCTGACTCGCTCTTCGCTGTTTAGAATGAGGTGCTCAACCGGCAAATCCAGAAGGAGATCTGGAGGATCCAGGACGTGATGGAGGGGCTGAGGAAGAACAACCCGTCCCGGGGCACGGACACCGCCAAGCACAGAGGTGGGGCCTGCCCAGCACCCGGCCTCTCCACAAACGGCCCCGCCCGTCCAGCCTCCGTCCCACACCTGCCAACTCACTCCACACTCAGGGCGGGCAGGGACTTCCCGGGACTCTGAATTGGCCCCAGACCCTAGGGTGGTAAACGGGGCTCCCTTACGGCCCACAGAAGGGACCAGGTAGATGGCTCAGAAACTGTTGACCTGCGCACTCTAGATCTGCCCCCCAGCCTCTAAGCACCTGTGCCCCCAGTGCCCTCCCTGAGCCCTGGGCCCTCAGTGGCCTGGGAAGCTGCTTTGCCATCCTCACGCTGCCCGGTGTCATGTTCCCTCGTACAGTGCTCCCCTCAGCAGCCAGCCTGTGACCCAGAAGCTATAGCAAGTCCCGTGGGCAAGGCCAGCGGCCCTGAGGCACCAAGTCCTCCCTCCCTCCTCCCCAGGGCGCCCACTGACGCTTCCTCTTCCGTGCCTTACCTGTGTCCCCTCTGCTTCCCCCAAGGAGGACTTGGGCCCTCGGGGACCTACAGCTCCAACAGCCCAGCCAGCCCTCTCAGCTCCGCCAGCCTCACCAGCCCCCTGAGCCCCTTTTCACTGGTGTCCGGCTCTCAGGGGTCCCCCACCAAGCCGGGGTCCAATGAGGTAAGCTGGGGAAGTGGATACAAGGTAGGCGGAAGAGGACTGGATCCTTAGCTCCTGCAGTGACACAGGCTGTGCATCCCAGTCCCAGAGCGCTGGTGTTGCCTTCGGGAGCCGTTCTGGCACCTGGGGAGTGACGCTGGATTTCCCCTGGGCCTGTCCACCCCGCCTGTCGCCTTTACCTCCTTTTCAGGGAAGGCTCTTCCTGAGTCCCCGGGATGGTTAGCGAAGATACCTGGCCCTTGCCTGTGCTCCGGGGATGAGAGGGTTGAGTTGGTAGAAAGTGGCTTCCTAGCCTCTTTAGGGGGGCTCTCCTGCAGGCCGAGGGTGGTGTGAGGCCCTCAGAGGATCACTCCTGTGCTCCCCAAGGCCCAGCATCCAATAAGCCAGCGGCCTACTGGACACTCTCGATACCGAGCCACGAGGGGGTCAGGCTGTCACTGCTCTGAGGCTTCACAGGAGAAGAGGGGACACTGAGGCAGAGAGAGAAACAAGCGAAAGGCTTTGCAAGCAGGGCAGATGGTGACAGCAGAGGTCCCAGGGTGGAAATGTGGCCGGCAGGCTGTGGAGGCACTGGGGAGAGAGCTGGGGAAGAAAGTGGGCAGCGGAGGGAGTGGGGGGCCGGCCGGGACCAGTGGGGAGAGGCCGGGCAGAGCTCTGCAGGCCGGGGTGGGGGCTGGCACCCGGGGAGATGTTATCTGGCTCACGCTAATGCTCTTCTCTGCTCTCACAGCCGCTGCTCTTGTCCTTCCTAATGCTCTGGCTTCGTTCTCTCTGCCTCAGGAACCTGGCCCACCTCGGCCGCCCCTCCCCAAAGCCTACGTCCCCCTGGAGTCACCTCCCACCGTCCCTCCACTCCCTAGCGAGAGCCGCTTCTGGCCATACCCCAGCTCCCCTTCCTGGCACCGCAGTGGCGACACAGCCAGGGGTCAGGTACCCGGCACCCTTGAGTTCTGGAGGGTGGGGCTGAGAAGGGGCGAAGGGGCAGGCAGGACGCTGAGGTTATTCTCCCCAGAGCTTAGTTTCCGCAGGGCCCTCCCCAGTGAAGCCAGGGTAAGGAAAGTGAGGCTGACCCAGCCTCAGGCGTCTTTCCTCCTTTTGTTCTCTGTGGAACAGGAGGAGCTGCTGTCTAAGCTCCTGAGCAACCAGGGGTTCCGGGCGCTGGCCTGGCGTACTGCCCTGCTCCCTACCAGTGTGGCCAGCCAAAGGAAATCCAGTGACACTCACCCCAGTGCCGCTCTGGTCCCTTCCTGTCCTTTACCCACCTGCTCAAGCCCCAGCCCTCGTGTTTCCCCTCCGTGCGTCTCATGAGCCCTGGAGTGTAAGGACACAGGCCCCTTTCTCCCCTGCTCTGGTTCCTTCTCTCACCTGGATCCCCTAAGATCTGGGAACTGGGCGGTTAGGCTTGGAAGAGGTTGTGCGGTGAGTAGAGTGTTCTGTGCCTAAACTTGGAGGATGCATATACTCGTGCAGGCTCAGCCGTGTGTGATTTGTGTGACCCCTCAGGGCTCGCTGCTGGGGTAGGCAGAGCACTGCTGGTATCTGACTGGCAAAGAAAGGGAGAGGGACTTTCCCATGCTCTCCAGTTGGGCTGGGCTTTCTCTCCTCCCGACTGGCCTCTCTGTGTGCTCCTCACTGGGACTGAGATTCTTCAACGGCGCTGGGCGGAGGCCTGAGGTCCCTTCTGGCCTCATGATTCTGAGTCCACAGCACTCGCCCTTTCCATTCCCCCACACTCCTGGCACCAAGGCCCACCTGCTTTTGTTTTCTCAAACCTGGAGTGGGGCCCAGGCAGCATCCTTAGAAACTCCAGGCCAGTGATGGCGAACCTTTTGGGGACGGAGTGCACAAACTGCAAACCAAAACCCACTTATTTATCACAAAGCGCCAACAGTGCAATTAAACCCAAAGACTGAGGTTTTAGTTTAGAAAAAACAACTCATGCACTTGACTTGCAGCCCAACAGAGAGAGGGCTCTGTGTGCCCACTGTGGCATGCGTGCCATGGGTTCGCCACTGCTCTAGGTCATTCCTTGACTGGGTGACGATAAATCTGTGCTTCTCCGACCTTGGTGAGATAACAGGCTGGGTGGAGGGGCTTCTCTGATGCACCTTGCCCGGATCCACCCTATAGTCCCTGAACTCCCATTTCCCACGATGCCCAGTATTGGTGCTGGGTACCAATGCACTCTGCCCACTTCTTGGCTCAAACACATGGCATTTCCTTACTCCCTGTGACTTCAGGGGCTTGAGAGGGGGAGGCAACGAGAAGGTTACTAACACCGACATCTTCTCATCCTTTGCCCCAGCCCAAGGCAAGCTATGAGCAAAACAAGAAAGATCCCCACCAGACATCACCCCTGGATACCCCCAGGGACATCAGTCTGGCGCCCACCAGACAAGAGGTGGAGGTGGAGAAGCAGGCAGCTCTCAACAAAGGTACCTCCTGGCCCCTTCTCCCTGGAAGTAAGGCTAAGGGCCGGAGAGGACCCCAGGTGCTCTTTCACACCCAGGGCCAGGGCCTTTGACCTCAGTGGTGAGTGGGAGGAGGCCTCTCCTTGGGAAGCGGGCTCCCTGCCTCTTTGCTTTCTGTGACGCCCCCTGGCTGCTCTGTCTGTTTGCAGTTGGCGTTGTGCCCCCTCGGACAAAGTCCCCCACCGATGAAGAGGTGACCCCTTCAGCAGTGATGAGGAGGACGGCCAGTGCGCTCACCGATGGGCTTTCCTCCCGGGTGAGTCCGTGCCGCAGGCTCCGGGAGCTCACGGGCCTGAGCTGGGCTACACTCCGGGGCCCCGAGTGTGCCCACCCACCCACCATTCCCACTCCAGACACCCAGCAGGGGAGGCAGGTAGGACGGGTGGAGGAAGAGTCCTCCTTCAAGGACGCATGACTCGAGGCAAGGAGAATGAGTGCTGTGACACAGAGAAGCACTTAGCCAAGTTACCACCACGTGCCACTGGTGCCCGCTACAGAGAGAAAGCAGCAAAATCCAGCGCTCATGCAGCCAAGGAAGTGGGTTTGTTTCCCAGAACTGCTAAGAATGAACAAATTAGCGCACACTGGGTAGTTTCCAACACTGTGCGTTTGTTCTCTCGGTTTGAAGGCCTGAAATCTAAAACCAAGGTGTCAGCAAGGCTGGCGGCTTTGGTGACTGCAGGAGAAGCCATTCCCTGCCTTTGCCCTGGTGTCCAGCGGTCTCTGGCACTCTCAGCAGCCTTGTCTTGTGGACACCTTGACCCAGTCTGTCCTCCGTGTGCCTTCTCCCTTTCTGTCTTCTAAGGACACCGCTAAAGGATTTGGGCCCATTTAATTCAGGAACCTTAGGGCTCTGAATCAGATCTGCAGTGAACTATTTCCAAACAAGGTAACTAGAGGCACTGCGGTTCAGACATGCAGTGTCTTTTGGGGGCTGCTATTATTCAACAGCTACAGCCCCGAGTTTGATGATGATCCCACTTACAACATACATTCCTCCCTTCATCCTCAGCTCTAACATCCCTTCTGAATATCGTTAGCTCCAAAGTCCCAAAGCTCATCATCTATATCTCCATGTGACCCATCTTGGGGCCAAATTCCTCTACTTGAGAAACTGAAAAATAAGCTAATCTGCTCCTAAAATACAGTATGATGGGACATCCATCATGGATGTCCCCAAAAGGAGAAATTGAAAGGGATAAGCGATCACCAGTCCCAAGCAAGTTTGAAATCTAGCAAGGAGAATCCCATCCGTTTGCGCACACATCCCAGGCAAGCGCTCTGACACCGAGCTGCACCCCAACCCCATTAGGTTTTAAAGCTGAGAAGGTCTGCAGCTGGCTGTGCTTTCTGTGGTTAGTGAGGGCTCCATTAGCCTTTGCAGCCAGGCCCCTGCTCTCTCGTGTCTGCCTCTGAATCGACAGCTTTGCCTTCATTCTTTTCCTTGAAGGTTAAGCCTGTGTTTATAGGTGGGTAACTCTATCAGTCTATTTCCTGCCTCTAGAATCCCAGAAATCTGACATTTTCCCCTCTGTTTTCCCTCCTCTTTTACTGTGAGCTGGCAGGGCTCTTTGCTCATAAGACAGTCTCAGAAACACACGTAGATCTGTGTGTGTTTCAGTTCTTTGCAGATCTTTGCTGTTTCTGGGTCAGTCATGTGCCTCATCTCTCCAAGAGAGTGTGGTCCGGCCCCATCCTTGACTGTCTCTTCAGGACATGCTTTTCTTTTTTCTTTTGTAATGGTGTTGGCTTTTCTTTTCATTTTTTTATGTTATTAGTACACATTTGCAGTACATAATGACTACATTTATTATGGTGAGGGGTAAGGTATGAGAAAAAGAATTAGGACGTGTTTTGTACATGTAGAACATACTTTCCCATCAGTGAACTTCCTAATGTAAGCGAGAGTCTCCCACATATTAAAGGGTAAGCTTCTTTTGGAGTAACATTCCCTTTGGTGTACCTCTTTTCCATTTTTCCCTCCAAGTACAAAGAGAAACAGCTCACACGTTCACAGCTGGGCTTAGAAATCTGCTTTTCATTCCATGATAGCCTACAAGTTTCTGCTATTTTCCTGCACTTTTCAATAACATGCTCATTTCCTTCTGAGACTTCGCCATAAGCACCTTTAACTTCCACTGATGCTGGGCTCAGGGGCGAGCGCCTGTAATCCCCACCTGGAGAGAGGCTGAGGTGGGAAGATTACAAAATCAAGCCCTGCGTAGGTAACTCAGCAAGACCCTGTCTGAACAGAAAGAAAATAAAAAGGACCGGGGTTGTAGCTCAGTGGAAGAGCACCCTGGGTATCACACACACACAAAATCCATCTTTCCACCAACCTCCCTCCAGTGATTATATATATATATATTTTTTTTTTTCAGACGATAGAAGCTCTCTCCTCCATCCCGCTAACCCCTCTCCACAATCGTCTTGCTTCAGATCTCTATTTCTACCAATCATCTTTTTAAGGGAATATAAACTTTTTTTCTGTCATACCCACCTCAAACTTCTCTTAATTCCAAAACCTCTTTCATATTTTTAGGTATTTCTTACGGTAGCACCACGCTTCCCAGTACCAAAATCCATATTAGTTTCCTAGGACTCCTGGAACAAATCACCACCTCTTGCTTGGGTGCCTTCAAATATCGGAAACACATTCTCTCGTACATGTAGAAGCCAGAAGTCCAAGATTGAGATGCTGGTAGTAAGACTCCTCTGCGGGCTCCCAGGGTGAATCTGCCCGTGCTGCTCTCCAAGCCGGCTGGGGCTGGCAGTACCTGGCATTTCTTTTTAGGCGAATGGCTTGGTTCATGCTGTTCTCTGCCTCAGTCTTCACACCACCCTCTGTGGTCTTCTCTTCCCTCTCCTACAGTGGCGTGCATTACTGGGTTTGGGGCCCACTCCCTTTCAGGACGGATCTTGTATTTCCCAGTAAAGTTGTGTGCACAGGTTCCAGGGGTCGGGACTCGGACCCCGCCGTGGGCAGGCTCCCCGCAGCAGGGAGTGGTGAGGAGCCTGACGCGGCACGCAGCACGTGGCAGAGCCTCGTTTTCCACTGCAGCAGGAGCGCCCCAAGAGCGCCGTGTTCCCCAGCGAGGGCAAGGTCAAGATGAGTGTGGAGGAGCAGATTGACAGGATGCGGAGGCACCAGAGCGGATCCATGAAGGAGAAGAGGAGGAGCCTGCAGCTCCCAGCCAGCCCGGCCCCGGAGCCCAGCACCCGCCCCTCCTACAAAGTGGTAATGTCCTCCGGCCGCTCACAGGCCGGACTGGCCTCTGGCCACGCTGCTCACTCTCAGGCCATGACCGGCCTGTGACAGGAAGGTGGGGGGGAGAGGAGATGGGGAACCCAACTCAGCACCCGGGTAGCTAGGAGGCACCTCCCCGTGGGGTACGTGTCCCTTCCACACACGAAGGAACAAATGATATGATTTTTTGTTGTTGTTGCTGAAATCAATTATACAAAATCCAGTTAATAGAGAACAGTACAAATCTACCACATAGAAACAGCATTACACACATCTCTGGAGCAGTCTGTGTGCTGAGCACTGGGCTGGGCTTCCCAAACACAGCTGGGACCGCTTGCTGTGCACTGTGACTCCCAGCCTCTTTCATGCTTTTGTTTAATCCCTTTAACAACACTGGGTTATGAGTTATTATCCCTACTGTACACATGAGGGAGATAAAGTCAAGAGACATGTAGGGCTTTATAGGGCACACAGTTATTGAATGCAGAGCTGGGAGTAGCCCAAGGAGTCTAACTTTTCTTTCCACTACATTTTTGGTTTTTGGGGGTTTTTTTGTTACTGTTTTTGGGTTTGGGGTTTTTTGTTGGTTTTTTTGCTTTTTTTGGTTTTTTGAGACAGGGTCTCACTATGTAGTTGAGACTGACCTGGAACTCACTGTGTAGCCCAGGCTGGTCTCGAACTCACAGTGATCCTCCTGCCTCAGCCTCCTAAGTGCTGGGAGTAGAAGCGTGCACAACCACGCCCGGCTCCACTACATTTTTGGAAATACAGAAAAATTCTGATTCATGAGTCCTGCCCTCTAACAATTTATATTAATTGGTGGATTGAAAACTATACTGTGAAACAATCCGAATCAAAGCAAGACCCTCTGGTTGGAGTGCCCAAAACATACGGCACAGAATGTTGACAGAATGTCAACACTGGCGCAGCAGGATAGAGGGAGACAAGTAAGACAGGAGACGCGATGATGATGAGATTTGTACTTCCGGGGCCTGGCAGGCGGGGATTTGGGAAAGCACAGGGAAGAGGGCTCGCGGGCCAAGCATTGGGCACAGTAGGAGCGTCGGGGGGGGTCCCTGGAGGACAGCGGGTGGCTCAGAGCCGCAGAGGCTGCAGCTGCGGTTGCATGTGCGCCCGCGTCGGGCCCCTAGGTGCGGCGACACCGCAGCATCCACGAGGTGGACATCTCCAACCTGGAGGCGGCCCTCCGCGCAGAGGAGCCGGGCGGCCAGGCCTATGAGACACCGCGCGAGGAGATCGCCCGGCTGCGCAAAATGGAGCTGGAGCCCCAGCACTATGACGTGGATATCAGTAAGGAAGTACGTGGTGTCCGGTTCAGGGCTTCGGGAGGAGGGGAGCCCTGCGGGGGGAGTGGCGGTGACCGCTGTCCCTCCACAGCTCTCCACCCCCGACAAAGTGCTCATCCCCGAACGGTACATTGACCTGGAACCAGACGCACCCCTGAGCCCCGAGGAGCTGAAGGAGAAGCAGAAGAAGGTGGAAAGGATCAAGACACTGATCGCCAAGTCCAGGTACTGGGCCACGTCCTCTGCCCTCCTGGCACCCGGGACTAGATGGGGTGCTAGAGTGGGGGGCGCTGGGCCTCCAGCATAGAGCAAGCGGAAGCAGTGGCCCGAGGCAGCAGGTGACCCGGGCGCTGGGTTTCTGCACACAGCACCTGAAGACGGAGCTGAGCTGCCTCCGCGGACTTGGCCCTTGCAGGGCCGCCCTAAGTGTTCATGAGAACCTTTGAATTCACTTGAAAATGCTGAGGGAAGGGGCCCCCCTGTTTCACCAGGGTCCCGCTCCTGCTCAGGACGGCCTTGCCAGGCACTTGCAGCTGTGCACTCACAGGCCCCGCCCTCCCCGCCAGCCAGAGCCAGTCGGACCATGCTGCCCCCTCCATGTCTGTATGTCTGTGCCTCTTCAGTATGCAGAACGTGGTGCCCACCGGCGAGGGGGACTCTGTGGACGTGCCCCAGGACTCAGAGAGCCAGCTGCAGGAGCAGGAGAAGCGGATTGAAATCTCCTGTGCCCTGGCGACCGAGGCCTCCCGCAGGGGCCGCATGCTGTCTGGTGAGAGGGGCCGGGCCTCGCTCCGCCAGGGAGACCGGCTGACCCGCTGTAGGGGAGGAAGCCAGCACTGCGAGGGGGACAGGGACAGAGAACACAAGGCCAAGGGCCTGGTCCTCAGGGTCAGGGTATGCACTTATTGAGCACCAGGTACTGTGCTAGGCTCAGGGAGTGCAGAGGGGCCCAGAGCCGCGAGGACCCTCACATGGAATGGTCAGAGGCCAGTGGCGAGCACAGCGAGTCATCATGCCCTGGCTGGTCAGGGAAAGGGGAGAGAAAAGCTGATGGACCCGGCTTGCTTGGGAAAGATGTGAGTGTCTACCGGCTGTGGAGAGCGAGAGGGTCAGGCATTCCAGGCACCCTTTCGCTTCCCATTCTGGCTCCATGCGAGAGGGGAAATGTAAGGAGAACTCAGAGAGAGCAGCCAAGGAGTTGAGTCGCATAATCACCATTTGGCCTTCGAGCCAAATCCACTTTCCTGCTGAGCAAGATGAAAAGGAGGAAGTGGCTTCCCACCTGCACGAAGGTCCCCGGTGGAAGTGACAGGGTTGCAGTCAGCAGGACTCATCGCTGCAGGGTGGCAGACAGCATCGTGGAGTAGGTGACGGCTTTGCAGGGTGAAGTAGGTTTCCCGTGAGGGAGGGTCGGCAGAGGGGCACAGCGGTTAAGTCGCGGACCCTGGAGACTGTCCCTGCCCAGGCACGGCGGGGACGTGGAAGGCCACTGCTAAGAGAAGTGACACCACAGGAAGCCCAGGCTGAGGGGCTGTAGGTAGAGGAGAGAGACCCAAGTGAGCAGGCACAGAAGAGGAGGCAGCACACAGGTGCGACCCATGCCAGGACTCATTAAAGGAGTGGCTGCTCACAGTGGTGATAAAGGGAGGTTCAGATTCTGCCCCTCTGAGGCTCTGTTTCCTCACCTTGTAAAATCCACAGCAGAATCCTTGCCTTCAGCTCAGGTGGCCTGAGGGTCAGAAACGGCAGCTGCCCAACTCCTAGCACAGTGCCTGGCGCTTGGTGCTCAATAAACATGAGCGGGCGGTGGCGGTCGTGATCGTGGCAGCGGTGTTGGTGACGTTGGTAGAAAGTAGTTGAAGTAGCGGTGGCTGGAACTGAAGTGGGAGCCATGTGATTTTTCTAATTATTTTTAAATATGGATCTTTTCAGAAACCCCAGAGAGTTGCAGGCTACAACAAAAGGGATTTAAGTAAGACCTGAGAGAAAACCCATGGGAATAAAGGACTTCATAATGGGTGGCCAGGGAAGGCCCCGAGGTCCTTCAGAGGCAGGCAGAAGGGGTCTGAGCTGAGGGCCAGAGGAACCCTTTCCTGCAGCCAGGTTGCAGCAGAACCAGTTTGGCTATAAGCAGGGCGGCCTCTGTTGCACCTCCCTGTAGTTCAGAAGGAAATCAAACGGTCCAAAAATCAATTTCCACATACTCTGGGCAAAAGGCAACTTCCTGTTTCAAGAGGGTACAGCATACAGTGCGTTTAAAGAGAACTTTACTCTGCCCTGTCCCAGCCCCGGTGCTCTCTACTACAGCTCTCCAGCCCCGAGGTCCCATGAAAACACGCCCACCTTGCCTATCTGATTTCCCCCTCCGTGCTCCGGGCTTACATTGCAGGGTCTGTGCGCTGCTAGCAAATGATCACCTTGCTTGTGCCAAAACCCCAACTATGTAAAACATGGCTGTGGTAGGGCCAGACCTCAGACCTAGCCCACTGTCCCCACCACTCCTGGCCTGTGGCCCAGATCTGCCCAGATCCCCCGAGGCAAGGGTTGGTCCTGGGTGTATGCGAATGGGCACAGAGGCCATGCCCGGGACACTGTGGGAGGGGGCAGTGCTGGGCACAGGTCACAAGGACAGCAGGCACAGGATGTGGCATTCCATGCCCGAGTGTGGGTGTGTGGCAGGGACGCTGCAATCAGTGCTGAGTGTTGTAAAGTTTGTGGATCCACCTGGTATGCGCAGACCAAGTATGCACCCTGTGAGGAGACGTGGCATTTCTGAGCTTTACATGTGGCCTGAATGTCACGTGCAGGGTGTGTCTGGTGATATTTGTAGACACGTGTGTTTGTGATCGTGTGTGCAGGTGGAGGGAATGTTTGAGTGTAAACACAGGGATGTGTATGTGTGTGTGCACGTGCGTGCACACGTGTGTCTTGGTATTGTGTGGAGGCCTGTGTGAGAGTCCAGGTGCAAGGCCAGTGAGTGGCTAGTGTGTGGGTGTGCATGTGTGAGCATACAATGCATGAGTGGAGTAGCATTAGTGAATGCGTGTGTTTGTGTGTGGCTGGCTTTCTGTACAATATAAGGAGATAAAGCACTTGCATGTATCCATTGTACTTGTGTGTGTCATATCTGTGTGTTGTCTGTGTGTGAGAATGGAGTCTCATGCGTGTGAGTTTGGATGACACTTGTGTGTGTCACAGTGCATTTCTGACCACACATCTTTCCAACACACATCGGTTACACGTACGAATTTCAACTATTTTGATGGAGACATTCCTAATATACACTGAATAATTTCTTTTAGGAGATTTATATAATTAAATTTTCTTCCTCATTTAACACCATTGTAAATACCCTTTTTAAAAAAAGTGTGTGTATGTGACACATAATAAATACATTTGTTTGGGGAATTCATATACATATATATACACACACACACACGTAAATATGTGTGTGTGTGACATCTGGATTGCTTTTTATTCCTTTTCTCCCGTCCTCCCTTCTCCGCCTCCAAACAGTCTACTTCCATGAAATATCCCGCTTTCCTGACTCCTATTTAAGGGCTGCCCTTCAGGCTGCCATATGCGGAGAATCTATTTGTAGCTCTGCTGAATGTCTCTGAACTGTTACATTTTTAAAGTTCCCTCTACTTTTTATAAAAATCTCTCTTCAGCTGTACTTTCTGAACATACGGTGGGCCTTGCAACCTCCGGCCCCTTGATTTTCTTGTTTCTAATCTTCTGTGGGCAGATCCCCAGCAGGTTGACAATGATTAGAATTGTGTAACAACCAGCTTCCGCAGGGCTCTCCCCTGAGTAACTTGTAAGCTCCAGCCCGTGTGCAGCATAACACACACCCTGGCTTCCTTGGGTCCTCGCTTTGCTGTGCGTTTTGTTGGAGTTGAGGTTGCCAGTTGCCTCACCCTGGGTCAGCGATGTGGATCTGCACACAGATGTGTCTGGAAGTATCCGAGAGTATCTGTGTGTGGTGTTCCAAGTGTGTTGGGCCGCGTGGAAGGACACGGGCTTGAGTGCGCACGGCACTCGCATGCGGTCTGAGTTGTGCTCGGTGAGTGTTGCCACGCCCCAGGCACAAGCTGTGTATTTGGTACAGGCGCACACTACTTCACGTCCGTGTGACAGCTACGCAGGTTGTACAAACACGGGTGTGTGCAGGTGTGGCAAGAGCCACAGGCCCAGAAGTTCAGCATCGCAGCCTCTTGCTGAAACTTCGGTGTGGCCCTGGCTGAGGTCTGGTTCCTCTCTCGGCCCCCCCACACCCTCCCTGCCATCCTTCTGCCTGGGCCGCACTCAGGATGTGCCAGGGTCTGGCTGTGCACAGTGATCTGACTCCCTCCTCATTGTCCTGCTTTGCTGTTCTCGCCACGAATAGTAATGATAATAAAGTAAAAGTCTCGCTAATCCAAATCTTAGGGCCGGCCTGATGCTGCAGGTGTGTCCCGGAGTGGAGCACAGCTGCCTTTCCCGTGTCGTTGGAAAGGGTCTTGCGTGGTGGCGGGGGCGCGTTTCTGAGCCCTCGCCCATGTGTAGTTTAGAGCTCCCGGCTCAGGGAGGTGATCCCCGCGGGCCGCGTCCCCTCTACCTGCTCGCTAACGCGGCGGGTTTGGATTAGCGTGACTTTGCTACATTATCGTTAGTGACACCACCGTCCCCAAGGCACCCGAGGGTGTGGCTCCCCTTGGGGCCCGAGGGCGCCCGGCCTCACCCGAGTCCCACTGGCTCTGGGCCCGGAACCAGAACAGCTTGGCGTCCGCTCGAGCCCGCTCGGCCTGCCTCTATGTTCTAATGCCTGATAAATTTGGAAGAAATAGCTCTAGTGTCAAATGAAGAAGAATGTTTAAGTTAGGGGCTCTTCACTTCTTCTCACTGTGTTCCACACGTTTTTCTTTTACCTGAAGGTCCTTAGTCATCTCATCACCCTGTCTAGTGAGCTCGCCTGACAGTTTCTCTTCTTCCTGAGCCCTCACCTGCTATTGGCTCAGGCTTTCCAGGCTCCTTGCAGGTGTCAGCCTCAGGGAAATCAGCAGAAACTATCTCCATGCCCTTAGTTCTGG